GCGGGATGCGAGTCAACTTTCTTCTAGCTACTGACTTGTTCCACAGAGACTGGTTGAAGGCACGAGAGGAAGGCAAGCAGCCCGCTTCCTCTTCTCCCTCCAGTGGCAGGAAAGGAATGAAGTTGCAGGCCTCTCCCGATCGAAACTCAGGCCGCCTTACTTCCCTCTCACCTCGGAGAGTGAAACTTTAAAGGCGGGTGGAGGAGACAAGAGCTTCCTAAGTAACGCTGAGAGATGGCCAGCTGAGATAAGGCTCGCGCAGGTAGAACTCCGCCGTGTGTGCGAGCCCAGCCAGGTGACACAAGAAGTCCGGGCAGACACCGGAGGAAGAGGGGAGTGGAGGGAGCAGAGACCCAGGCCTGAACAAAGGCGGTGGGGCTACTCCGGAGGGGTGAGGAGGAGGGGAGGCCAGGCTGCTGGGGGGCGGGGGTGGGGATAGGACTCACAGAACTTGGAGGTGGAGGTGTTGATGTTGATGGTGGAGCTGGGGGTGGAGGCGGGGGCAGCCTTGGCCACAGTGGCAGTCCCATCGCAGCTCTTCAACATCATGATCACCCCGTTGGACTCTGGCGGTGGCCCCATGGACAGTCCCTCCTTGGGGCCTTTCCTGTCCACGGACAAAGTGGGCACTGGCAGCAGCTGCCCTCCCGGGGGCTCCCGGGTAGAGGCTGGGATCGGCGGCAGGGGCGGCGGCGGCGGCCGCCGGAAGCGGTCCACGGCGGCCTCCCAGTTGTTGTGGTTCTGGTCGTCCATCATCGCCTCGTAGCTGCCCCCCTCTTCCTCTTCCATGCTCTCTTCCATCCTGCCGGCCCCTCGCAGACAGCGGACGCCCGGCTCAGCCCTGGGCCAGGGGGCACTGCAGCCTCGCACGCTCACATCACCGGGGCCGAGCGGTGCGGCGGAGAGGCCAGGGGCGCGCTGGGTCTCCCTCTCCCGTGGCGCGACTCGCGCAGCGGTGGGCGCTCCCGGGTTCGCGGGGAGAGGCAGCCGTAAAGCGACGGCGATGTTCACGACATTTTCCAGCAGCTCCCAACAGGCAGTTGCGGTAGGCCGCTGCGGGAGGGGCCAAGAGGGCACGTGGTGCTCGGAGAAGGCAAAGCGCCCAGGGAAGGCCTCGGTGAGTCACCAGCACGCCATAGGGCAGGGCTCGCCCCGCCCTAATGCCACAGAGGGGCGGGGAGACAGGGCTCACCCCCCATTCGTCGGCCCCGCCCCCGGCAGGCCTCACGTGATAGGCGCTCGGCTTGCGCACGCGCGTTCTAGAGCCTAGCTCTGGTACTCGGACGATTGGGGTGCAGACCCTCTCCTGAAGACCTCAGCGGAGAGAGCCGCGCTGTCCTTCCGTCTACAGTGGAACAGCGGGTATTTAACTTATATTCTCCATCTTTATGGGCTTGCCACCTCGCAGCCTCGGCCTGTAGAGAAGCCGTCAGGTGCCCTGGAATTGATTCCGACTCAGAGCGACTCCACAGACGACCGAAAGAAACAGCCTGCCTGGTGGTGCTCCGTCCTTACAAGTTTCAGCCCATTGCTGCAGCCGCTGTGTCCGTCCATCTTCTCGAGGGCCTACCCCTTTTTTTGGTGAACATCTACTTTACCAACCATGATGCCCGGCTCCAGGGTCTGGTCCCAAAATATTCAAGACAGAATCACACCCTTCCCCTTAAGAAGCAATATTTTAGCACTCACTGATGGTCCAAGACCCCAGCTTTCAGTCTTGATTATACCTCAACATAAAGAAAGTAAAAATCTCCCAGCTAGACCCGGGTGACCAGGGCTGAACAAAAATGCCTTGAAGGATGTACAGCCAGAATGCTTCTTATAAGTATGGATGGCAAGACTTTGTTTCATGTGCTTGAAACATGCCATGAGGACAGGCGAGTCCCTGGAGACGGAGAACATGCTGTTGTAACCCTCAATGAGAAGGACTGACACAGTGGCTACAGCAACTGGCCCAACCATTATCAAGGGTTTCAAGGGTAGTGCGGGATTGGGCAATGTTTTGTTCTGTTGTGCATAAGGTCACTGAGTTGGAACCAACTCGACAACACTTGACAACAGTAAATTTTCCCACTAGCACAAGATAAATAGGTTTCTAAAATAGAGATGTAAGCTTGTATACATGAGGGAAGATCCCTGGGAGGCACAAATGGTTTGCATTTGGTTATTAGCCTGAAGGTTGGAGGTTGAAACCACCCAGCATCACTAGGAAGAAAGGCCTGACCATCTCCATCAGTAAAGATTAGATCCAAGAAAACTCTTCTCTGGTAGTTATATAATTGTCAGTTTGAGAGGATTCAGAGTGAAGGGGTGGAGTTTAGCTTGTCAATCAGGTGATAGCCCATGAGGCCTCTGTGTGGGCATGGCCTTCTGAGGATTCTGGGAACTCTCTTGGCTTATTCCCTGGGAGACATTGCAACTGGCAAGACACATGGAACTACACTAATGCTCTGAGCTGGAGGCACCACGTGGAGACCCCTGCTAGCACTGAGATTCTTATACCACCACTGGATCCACAAAACTTCCCACCCACTGGCCTGTGATCTTCCCGCATTTGGCATCATACATGTGTTTAATGAGTCTGAAGAGGACTTTATAGATTGGCCTTGGACATATGGGCTAATATCAGACTTAGGGACTTGATTTGGGCTAGGATGTTTTCTCAATATTCAATTGTTCTTGTAGATAAAGTTCTTTCTTAGAATACATATATAAGTGTCTCCCTGGATTTGTTTCTCTAGTCTACCCGGACTAACACACCTTTGGAGCACTTCTCTGTAACACTTGGGGTTGTCAAGAGTTAAGTGTCAACTCAGGGGCAATGGTTTTGTGGTGTGTGTGTGTGTTTAATATGTGAAGACAACTTCAAAATGTTAGTAGCTATCTAGAGATAATGGGCTCTCTGGCAGCTTTTAGTTTTCTTATTGTATCTTTCAGTGTTTTCCATGTTCTCTACAAAGAGCATGTATTATTTTTATAATCACATACACCAAAACCAAAAAGCTCCAAACCTTAAAGGCAGATGAATAGCTGACAGTAGGGATGGAATGGTTATCCCATTGGTTAGGTTTGTTTGAGCTGCCAGAAACAGAAACGCCAAGTAAGTGTTGTTTAAAGACCAAGACTGTGCCTTGGCTCCCTGACTGAAGCTAAGAAAGTGGAATGTGGAACACCACCCCCACCACCACCCCCAAGGCCTCGGCTCTGCTTCCCTGGCATCACAATGGCCTGCTTCTCTCAGTGCGTTCACTCACAGCCTGCCCCCCCACCACGGCAGACCTCCTCCCATACCACTCTGGACAGAATCTTTAGTACTATTTGTTAGCAATTTTAATCCTAGGATGATATCATAGTTATAAATTGCCTACGTATCATATTTCTTAGATTATGTGAACACCAGCGGCAAATTGTTAAATCTTGCTGCCTTGAGTTCCGACATTGTCATTAATGTCATTAGTAATTGTGCCCAAGCCTTTCCCAACAGTTCTCCATCTTTTCCTTTAATTACAACTTTGTTCTCAAAAAGTTATTAACATGGGTTCCCAAATACTAATTGCCACAAAATTTCAGCTAAAACAGAAGATTTGAAGAAATCAGTGACTAGAAACATACCAGCAGCAACAACAACAACAGGCCTGCTTGTAGTAGGCGCCTCCGAAGCCGCGCGATGTGTCATTGTGGCTGCCGAGTAACGACAGCGCTAAGGGTCAAATTAACAGTGAGTTTTAGCCCAGTAGTTATATTGAAGCTTGTAAACTGGGCTCACGAAAACGGTTTTTGTGGTGCTTTCTTTGTTACAGGGGCTTAAAACTCATACTGGATTTCTGCTGAAACGCCGTGTGAAAGTTTTGGTCATTTTGGTAGCACCCCTTGACAGTGCCACCGGTGTGGTCCACACTCCTCCTCCCCCAACCCTCTGGTGACGGGACTGCTCCAGTGCTTGGCAGTGCTCCTTGCTCACTCTCCTCTTTCGCAGGCTCCGTGCTCAGGACTGGTGAAGGGCCTGTCACAGCCGAAGGCCTCACACCGAGTGTCATACCACCAAGAGGGGAAAAGCCCACCGCCCTGGCAGCTCTGCGTTTTGAGCAAGGAATGTTATTTCCCAGGAGCCTTCCACAAACCTCCTCTCATGCCTCAGTGGGCCCCCTTTTTTTTTAATGTATAAGAAAGAGCTTTATATCCAGAAGTACAGCTCAGCCCAGTCCAACTCAAGCCCATAGGTCCAGTGCTAGCCGGAGCCCTCTTAAGACACACCTAGCTGCAGGCTGATGGTGCAGAAAGGTGAGGCGGGATGCAGGGAGCTCAGAAGCGGGAACATAGAGTTGGGTGGATCCAAAGGCCACCGAAACCTGGCAGGGCGCGGACAGCTCTCAGCGTTGGGCAGTCCACATGGAGCCATGCCTAGAGGCAGGCAGCGTCCCAGCACCAAGACAGGGGAGGGGTAGAGAGGGCAGTTCCCAGTTTCTCCATTATGAGAAGGGCAAACACCCCCGGAGACATCATCAGGCTGTCTGAGATGGCCTGCTTGACAGTTTGGACAGTGGCACATTCCTGAGCCACGCGACATGACAGTGGGGCCCGAGTTCGAGTCATTTACTGGGAAGAATGGGGACATATTTCTGGAACATAGACCCACCCCTAGCATGCAGCATGCGGTCTGCTTCCGCTAAGTCCTTTGGCTGGGAAGGCAAGGGATGAATGTAAGAACACGACTGAGGATCAAGTTGGGAGACGTAAAGGAGTGCTATCCTGCAGGCCAGGGGCCCTGGTGGCAGAGTGGCCAAAGTGCTCAGCTGCTAACTGAAAAGTTGATGGTTCTAACCCACCAGTTGCTCCCGAGGGAAGGATGTGACGGTCTACCTCCATAGGGATTTACGGCCTTGGAAACCTTAAGGGGCATTCCTGCTCTGTCCTATAAGGTCCCTGTGAATTGGGATGCACTAGACAGCAGGGAGTGCAGTTTGGGTTTTGTGTACCACGGGCCCAAGGGCAGGGGTAGAAGTTTCGCCTTCCATTTGGAAACCAGCTACCCACCAGGGCACCTCGTGGGCAGTCTCCACCCTTCTGTCCTGCAGGTTTGCATACTGCTGTGAGGCTGAACCACCGCCGTGGAATCACTTGGACGCAGAGTGCCCCTGCGTACGGTTTCCAAAGCGATCCATCGCCACAGCTCAGAGACCTCAGCTTTCTCCTGAGGAAACGGCTGGTGGGTTTCAACTGCGGACCTTGTAGCTACCAGTCCAATGCTTCCTCAACAGCGCCACCAGAGGAGAGAGATCAAGGCTGTCTGCTCCCATGAAGTTTTGTATTTTTCAAGTCTCCAAGACTTTTTTTATAAAGTTTTTTTTTAGAATTTAGAAGTTGGTTTTTTTTCCTGTAGGATTGTCACCTAGTCAGAATCAACTCAATGGCAGTGGGTGGGATGATGCCGGACGGGTTTCTGTGAAGCATTCAAATTCAGACACCTGGAAGAAAAGGCCTGGCTCTCTACTTTTGAAGCCCAGTCAATGACAACTAGGAGCCACCACAGTCCATCACCCATCATGGGGGAGGGAAACAGCGGGCAGCAGTCCCCTCCGTTGTCCACGGGCCTACCAGGAGGTGGGTGAGCTTACATCAGCAGCTCACGAGCCCAAGCCTTCCCTCACCTCACTCCAGTCTCGCCATTGCCTCCCCACCGTAAACACTACTCTTACCCATGTGTTGATGCGCCATTGTCTGTGCACTGGTCTGAATCGAGAAGTGCATGACTCGTGTTTGCCTGATTACAAGATGAATATGTGACTTCTTGTCTAAACTAGTTACAATTTGGGAGTGAAAGGGTAGACACACTTTGTCACTAAGAATGTGGTCTTTCTGTGGCTTTAGATGCCTTCATGTCAGTTTCCCCAGCATGTTTTGTAGTTGTTTGATATTTTTTATTGAATTCCTTCATGATGCA